CATATATATATATATATATGTGTGTATATATATATATAAAAGGAATTAAAAAAGAAAAATGCACCAAGAAATGACAATCAATACAAAGAACAGCTGTTACAGGAAAAAAAATTAAGGTACTACTGTCCTGAGTCAACATGAAACAACAACAAAACATATTGCATAGTATGGAGATTTTCTAATACCACATCTGCTTACATACTTTGGTGGGGTTGGTAGACGGAAAACTACTTAACTTTTGGTATATTCTAGACATCACTGAGAAATTATAAATACAATATTAATTGCAGAGACCGCTCCTTCCAACCCCATGCGTGGCTATCCATGGTATCTACTGCTGGAAACACAGCCCCCCCTCCCCCACACTCAACTTCCTATTTCAGCTGAAAATCGCAGCCAGGCATATTGTAAATGTATGCCGTAATACTAGTACAGTACTTATTATACACATGACGAAGCTCCTCCACACCTAATCTACAAACCAGACCACCGATTGCACGCTTACTTTAAATGATCGTAAACATTTAAAATGAAGGCACTCACAAATAGCTCAACTGCCAAAAATTACAGGTCTTTAGATGGTAGTTACTTCCGATTTAAATGCTGTTTAAGAATAAATTCAAGTCTTCCAGGGCGCTGCTGCCATCCAAGGCTTTTTTCAAGTTTCAAGGACCATTATGAACCCTAACAGTTATTTGTTTGATTCTCTCCCAGATGAGGCTTGCTCAGGACATGTTAGAGAATGTGCATGTATATTATAAAAGTGATTGGGACCTCACCATGTAACATGCATACAGGGCAAAAGAGCATGTTGGAGATCCTTTGCTGCCAACCTTCATTGTGGAAATGACACCTGATTGATCGCTCCCATACCTCTTGATATATCTTTCAATATCATTAAGTAGTTAGCCTCTATATCTTAAGGCCATTCTACCATTTGCCACCTAGTGGACACACCTAGTAGTAGGACAGGTTTCTACCCTGAGATTACATATCTTTCACTCTAATATAGCCATTTTGGTGGATTGAAAAAATGATGCTTCCTATTTTACATCATTCATTTTGTTCTTGCGTGAGATATAAAATTGCTGCTGCACTGACCGGTATAGTCTAATAAAACCATGCATGATATGCAGAATAAATAGAAGTAACAGCTCCAGCATATATGCAAATAAACCAGAAAAAGAATATGAGGAAAAGTATTCTTGTAATGAATATGATGGATTAGATACGGACAATGAATATTTGGTTTAATGGATGATGTAACAGACACTAAATATGTTATCTGAATGTGAAAGAATGGTAACATGATAAATGTAAACAGATGTACACACAGAAACATTATTCATATGTGCCTCAAATACACTTTGCTTATCACAACTAACCTCTGCTACATTCAAGTGTGCTTTGCTTTCTCCCATTATATACATGATTGGTGGGCTATCTCTTCCCTTAAGAGTCTTTCAATTTAAACAGTGGTTTATCTGTCCATTTTTGAACATTTTCAGTCTTTCAAGAACACATCCATATTAGATACATTATCATCATGTAGCAGGGTTTTTAGAAAGAAGAATTTTCATCGACACCACAGAAATACTGTAGATCCACACACACACACAAAATTACAATGGTTATGTCCAAATGAGGGTAACAGTCATAACTATTCTTTGGCATCTTGATTGTCTCAGCATTCTTTGACCTCTTGGCTAAGTAATCTCATTACTATTTTACCTCATGACTTAATATTCATTGTATTTAATTTTATCTCTTGGCTAGTATTTTCGTTATTTTTTTTTAAAGTCTTGTCTAAGTATTCTCAGATCTCTGGACTAAGTATTCTCATTACTCTTTAACCTCTCAGCTAAGTATTTTAAGAACTGTTTAACCTCTAGACGAATTTTTCTCAGTAATCTGTTATCTTTTGACTAACTATTTAGTATTCTTTGATCTCTTGACTAAGTATTCAGTATTCTTTGATAGCCTGACTAAGTATTCAGTATTCTTTGATTGCTTGACTAAGTATTCAGTATTTTTTTATCTCTTGACTAAGCATTCTCGTTACTCTTTAGCCTCTTGACTAAGTATTCTCAATACCTTTTGACCTCTTGGCTAAGTATTCTCTAAAACAAGCACGTCAAATAGGAGAAGCAAACATTCTCAGTATTGTTTAAAAGAAGCACATCAAATAGGAGAAGCAAACAGGAGACTAGGAAAGGACTAATAAGTTAGGTGCCAGATCAATGTGGTTCAACAGTGTAATTTATGTACATTTAAAAAAATTATAATTTTCTATACAACTTCACCAGACAAGAATACCCAGTTAGCATGATATCAACATGCAGCAGTCTATGTACAAAAACCTGATATGCAACAACAAAATACAAGACTCTAAACACAAATTATACACAAAAATGACATATTTACACATCAATATTCTTTAGATTATAGATGTTATAACATCATTTTTACATCAAAAATGTCAACTGGCATGGGAGATCATGTTTCTTTACATTTTGCAATTTCAATTAGCATGTATTTATTTATTTATGTGCTAGCACATTTTTGGGCCATTAACAATAGCAATCATGGATTTTCACTTGGGTTCTGCCTTATTTCTCTTTGCATACATTTTTTTAAGCTGTTAACAATGTGTTCACGTTTTCATTGTTTTGCCAAAAGACAGCTGATGCCAGTGATAAACTGTCTACGTCAAAATGACTTTAAAAACGTTCAGATTATCATTTTGGAAGTCCAGTTTTGTACAATCTTTTGCTACCTATACAACTGTTTACAGCTGCCCTTATATTTTAAATACCCTCCTCTCTTCTCTACATTCGAAGTCCACCTTTAATCCCGTTTGCTGTTTTGTTCAAAAGCTAGGACATGTGAGCTATACATTTTTTACTCCATTTCCTCAGTGAGTCCTATTCAGCAGAGCATTTTTTGTTTGTCGCTTTATTATCTAAAAATATGTTTAGTTCTTTCTCTCTGGTATACTCAACTCCTGTTACTTTGCATAGGAACTAGTTAATGAGTGTTGGTATTTTAATGTTTTTTTTTTTTAGTAACTGTTTTAGTGATTTTACCTGCTTTTGATCAATAAAGCAGTACTCATTTAAGGTTCAAGCTAAATATTCCAAGTTTTCTTCATTTGCTTATTAAGAGAAGATCAACTTCACTGCACTAGATTTTTTCCCATATGGCTCAAAACAGCATGCCACCTGCAGAGTTGCACGGAGCATGAACTTTGTAGTTCTCTAAGAATCTCTGCGGAACTGCACTAATGAACTGAACAACGTGTCCATGAAGTTCATTTATTACCTTGGATATTCTGATGTGATATGCCACACCAAAGGGGACTAATTCATAAAAAAATTTTTTAACTGAATGTTCTTATTATATGGTTGCTGTTTTCACTCACTAATGTCCTGTCATCATTAAGTGAGTACGGATTATTTCCATTTGTTAAGTTCATATCTGCATCTCTTTTATGACAGTTGTTACCCATCTCTTTAGTAATAGTAGTATTTAAATGAATAAAAACTGCTGATAGAGAAGTCTGGCGATCTTTCTGGCAAGCCTCTGTTCTGGTTGTACACTCTCTCAGACTGCTGTCCATTCATCTCTTGTTGTTTTCCCACTTGTATTGTTGCTTACCTGTCGCCCTCTTGCCTTCGAACTTTCCCTACAGTATGGTTTTTAAAGTGTGTTATGTCTTTTAATGTGGCCAAAGTATTTCAGTGGTCTCTTTTATATTACTTTCAGCAATTCTCTCTTCATCTGTACTCTTTCCAGAACCTCTGCATTGGACTGTTTATGTTTCTATGAAATACAAACTATTCTTCTTTACCCTATCTTCAGAGACATGATTTTCTAGGGCTTGTTTTTTGTCCAACAATAAATGTATAACTGGGTCACATGTAGCCACCAGCTATACCCCTCTGGTGTAACCTGCAGCCCTGTGTGGGTCTGAGTTGAGTCAAAAACTGACATCACAGCACTCGGGGCATTTCCATGCACGCTCTGTCCTCATTTTCAGCAGCCAGTGCAGAGTTCCAATACTGATGGTACCGGTCACAATCTGGTTAAAAGTCTGTCTTGCCTTTCCTCTGAGTGTAGTGAGCTGGCCAAACCCTCTGGTTACACCCAGGTGCCACATTCTCCCCAGGCCATAATGATCTTCTTTCTCTACTGACTCCGTTGCTTGTTCCCAAAGGGTCTTGACCACATCTGCCTTGTCATGTATCGGTTCACCACACACTGGTGCGGATACAGCCAATCTGTTTGCCTGTTCATCACCCACCACGCCGGCAGGGCCTGGAGAAAAGATCTAAAGTATGCTTACCACCTGTGACCTTTCCAGTGAAGCTAGCCACTCTGCTCGAAGCATCCCTGTCCTCACCTTTTTCAGCATGCTTTCAGAGTCTGTTACAATTACGACATGTGTATGCATCTTGTTCTCTAGCCACCTACACCTCCATTCTCATGCTAAATGTTGTGGTGTCATATGCTAGACTGTCTTGCACTAAAGATTTTCCATTGGCTTTCGCTACAAACCCCCAGGCTTGTGTGTTTGGTCTGGGGTCTTTATCTTATTATTACTGATGACTCACTGTGTCTTCAGTTTACAGGCTTCATCTAAGAATGTGGCTGTTTCCTCATTCTATTTATTCTCTTCCTGCCTCTGTAATGCATTATATTTATTTAACACTTTCTCTATCAACTATCACAGATGTCTTTCCTTACAGTTTCTGGTCTTTACCACCTTTGTCAATAACAACGATGTTTAGAAAAGAATGCTTCATGAGAAATGTTGAGCACTTAGACTAGTTTTCTAAGCAAAGAATAAGTTACAAATGCTTAATGGTTAGATAAAAAAGATAAAACCAAACCACAAAGTAAAACACTGCAGTTAGTGACTATACTTAATCACTCCAGCTATGAAGTAGGGTATCCAGTTCTATTTTTGTTACAGATATGATCAGCTTGTAAAATCTGGGTCACAGATAAGTAACTTCACTAATCTGTGATATGTGGCATTTATCTGAAGGGCAATAACTCCTAGACATATTTTGTTTGGAGGTTTTCGTGAAGCCAGGCTCAGATGAAGCTACTGTGTCTCCACCAAAGGATTCGTTTTCTGTTTTTTCATCAATGCTGTCTGAAGATGCCCGCCAAGATATTATATCAAACACATTCCTGCCCTGAATGAAAGATTCTGAAACATTTTCAATATCCTTCATACTGCTAAAGCCACTTTTCAAGTTCTTCGGCTCATTGTGAAAAATATTTTCTATCTCTGCCGATAATGGGGGTGGTTTCTGCATAATCAAGGTCAGATTATTAAAATCTTTTACTGGGTCCAGAGGGGATGACTTGAGTAAAGACTGCATGTGATCTCTGCGGCACTTTTCCCATGTTGAAGCTTTGTAAGTAGGAGACTTTTTCTGAGACTTTGTCAGTTGACTCTTAATGATAACAGGGTTATCCACACTTGTCACAGGTGACTGAATACGCTTGGAGAATATGTTACCAAAACATCCATTATTGCCTTGTTTAGTACTATCAGTGTCATCACTGACTGACTTGCCTTCAGTTATACTGGGTTCTTTACAAGACTCAGATGCTGGATTTTCAGAGATTGTCTTCCCATCACCTGACAAATTCTCCCAAGAACATGAAGGAATATCTGCAGAGGGCATCAAGTTTGTTTTCAGACATTCAGATGCTTCCTTGTGCCATTTAGGATTCTCATGGACTTTAACTTGTCTGTCAGTTTTCCCAGCTGAATTTTCACAAATATCTACCTTAACCGAATGACTGCTTTCCTTTCTTGCTCTGCCAGAAGCCCGTGACTTGGCTGGAGCTTCCTTATCTGGACCCACTTTTGATACAATATGAGCCACCACTGTAGGATAACCACCCTCATTTTGAACTTCTGTCACTTCCGAGAGCACAATAAACTGATCTGAATCATTGCTACCTTTTCCGGATACAATCACATCGGTGCCTTCAGCTGTGTATTTGTTTATGTAGAACTCATAGTTGTCATCGTGAGACCTGTGCACAGACTCTGCATCTTCATGGGTGAAGCTAACTGACCTGTGAACCATCACCTGAACTTGACGAGCATCACGAGCCTCCATCTCTGGTGTTATATTTAATCTGGCCAGAGTTTGAGTTGGCAACACGATTGCTGCACAGAAACAAAAGAAAATATCTTAAACATTTCATTTTAACAAGAAAGATAATGTTCAACTTTTCAGGTTATAATTAGAGGACAAACTGTAAGTGAAAGCAGTAGCAGTGCAGTGAAAAGAAGGCTTGCCTGCTAGTTAGGTCATACGTGTAATAGGTTCACGAGCAAATAGACTGAATGGTTCATTCTATTACAATCAAACACATCTGTCACAATAAATGGTCTATCCTTTCACAATAAAATACACTAAGTGGTGTATCCTGTCACAATAAATTACACTAAATGGTCTATCCTTTCACAATAAAATACACTGAATGGTCTATCCTGTCACAACAAATTACACTGAATGGTCTATCCTGTCACAACAAATTACACTGAATGGTCTATCCTGCAACAATAAAATACACTAAATGGTCTATCCTGTCACAATAAAATACACTAAATGGTCTATCCTGGAACAATAAAATACACTAAATGGTGTATCCTGCAACAATAAAATACACTAAATGGTCTATCCTGTCACAATAAATTACACTAAATGGTCATCCTATCACACAAAAATAACAGAAAACACTAAATTGTCTATCCTGTCACCATAAGTTGAAAAAAAATAGACACTTTTCCCCGCCTTTAGGCACATTGGGCATATAGGGCTAGACCTTGATTTTATAAACCAATCACCACTTGGAGAGTGATGCAGTCAACATCATATCAGCTGCCTTTACTTTTAAGGACTGTACCTGGTACCATTTGAGGCTGGGTCAACCTGGGAGCCAGTCTTTTTTTTTTATCCGACCCTGTCAGGACCCAAACACATGACGTTGCGATCCGCAGGCGAGCGTTTAGCCATTATACAATGACAGCCCATCCTGTCCCAATAAGATACATTAAATGGTCTGTCTTATTACTGTAAAATACACTGAATGGTTTATCCTGTCACAATAAAATACACTCAATGGTCTATGCTGTCACAATCAGATGTATTGAGGTTTATCCCATCACAACAAAATACACAATAGGTAGCAATGTTTCCTTCAAATTGATAGTCTCTTCATCAGGTTCACAACACAAAATGGTAGACTGTTTAGTTGGGTAAATGCAAGTCACCATCACCTAGTTTGATTCTACACTGAAGACTGGTAATAAAGGATATGCATTAAGCATTCACTGCATGTTCAGCTAAACTGTATCTTGGTCAAATCTGGATGTCATCTGTCCATTTACATCTTTGATGTCCTATAGTGATTTTATCTTTAATTACTATTTTTAATATACTGTTAGGCTGTCTTGAAATCACAACTGAGTAAATATTTTTATATGTGCTTGGTGGCATTGTGGTGCTGGGGTGTCTGTGGATTACCTCCCTTCCCGGACAGCAGCCAGAAGTGCCCTGTACCAGTTCTAAAGGGAATATGGGTTGTGTTTCTGCCTTTCCCTTTAACACGTAGCTAAGGTGTGGCTCACAGTGTGCTCATTCCTCGCCACCAGATTGCCTGCAGGTTTTGCTGAGCTCTTCTTGGCTCTAAGCATGAGAAGTTGGGGCAACTGAATCATCACGTCCTCTGTAAGGTTACCATCCTAAAGAACCTCTACTCTTTGTTACGGGAGGTTAGTTATCACACCTCTCCTGATCCCCTAGGACAGTGGTTGGCAGACTCAATAATGCTGTGACTCTTGAATACAGTTCCTCATGTAGTGGCGATCACCAACCATACAATTATTTTCGTTGTTATTTCATAACTTCAGTGAAGATGTGTTTTCCGATGGTCTGTGGTGACCCCTGTGAAAGGGTCGCTCAACCCCCAAAAGGGTCGTGACCTAGAGGTTGAGAACCGTTGCCCTAGGATGAGGGCTGTGCTGACCTGAACACTCTCTCAGGTTGTGCAGGTGAGTCTGCACTGTACTGACAATATAAGTCCTGTCTATGCTTACTCCCTTTATTCGTGCAATATTTGGCAGCTCACTGTCCTTTGCTCTTGCATGTTTGAGTATGTACTTCCAGGTAACCGGCAGCTGACTGCTATGGTATTTGATATGACCCAAAAAAGCAATCTTTTTTAGTTATTTCTTTCAGCTATGCCTTTTTTTAAAAACCAAGTTTTTATTTTTAACTTTAGTCTTGCTTTTAATTTAAAAAAGGAGACATGGGGAGGGAGAGAGGGGGAGAAAGAGAAAGATGAACAGGATATATTTAAATAAATTAATATACTTTCATATTACCTCGAGTAATATCCCTTTCTGAAAATCTTTCAACTGCTGGTCGACCCTTACTTCCTTTGAGCATCTTCCTCATCTGCAAATGTCGTCTCAGTCGAAATATTCCATAGCCAGGTACTATCACTACACTGGCTCCAACTAGAATAGCCCCTGCTGCTAATCCAAGTCCTGCTAGTACCACACCAGCCACAAGTCGGGCAGCTGTAGAAGAAGTAAAAGAAAACTGGAATATACATTCTTGATATACATGTATTCAAACGTTTTTGTTTTACCTAAGTTTTGATGCAAACATACATTTTTTGCAGTCTTAGGTTAAAATCCAGACTGGATACTTCACGGTATTGACTTCCAGGTAAAACTAAAGTAAAATGGACACAAAGATGGGAAGTAAACATGGCCAGTGTACATCACTCCCCAACGGCAGATTAGTCTACAAAAATATTAATGGCATCATATGTGCCACTGGTGTAAAAAGGGTCCTTTGCTGATTTTTAAACTCACTCCATTTGAGACTGACTAGTAATCTGTTCATTTGAAGTTAGCTATTAATCTTTACGCTTCAATGTTTCATAATAACAAGATCAAAATAATAAAACGATAGGACCAGCTGTTTTATATGGCTCTGAAATTTGCCACATGACAAATCTCTGGATCCATCAGAGATGCAAACTGGGAGAATGAGGAGCAACAAAATCGTGCTCTGTTAAATCACCACTGATCACTGACATCATGAGGGTCACTAGCCAAATGGCTGGGGCATACTGAGAGAATGTCAGATGACAGAGGTAAAAAAAAAACTGTACACGAGGAAGTTTAATATAGCTATATAAGAATTGCCCTACCAAAAGAAATTTAAAAAATTAGAATTAAGGACTGTTTTTGCTTTTTTAAATGTTATCAGTAACCTCTCAACCCTTTGAGTCCCAAGGGGTTTAGCATCCAGGCCCAATGGGTAGTAAAGAGAGACTAAAATCAGCACATCATGCATTCAATGGGCTTCTAGGTAAGACCTGTGAACGTATGATGTGTTGCCTGGGACTCAAAGAGTTAAAACTTCATTTAGTGACCTCCAGGGGTCCACAAATTTTGAACCACTACCTTGACTACTTTGTGTCACAGTTTGGGAACCTCAGCATAATACATACACTTTATAACCTCATGTATCTAAAAAGTTATCCAAACAGATGATCACTACTTCAAGAATGCTATGGATCGCGTCACATGGATGGGAACACAATGAACGAACGGAGAGGACTGATAACATGTTAAGAGCTGAGCATTAGAGACAGAACACATCAAATTGACAAATACATGTGATGGCAACAGTGGCCCTAAAATCATATACCTTCATTGTGGAAGTTCTTTCTTAGCCAAGTGACTATCATGATTGCATGTTATGTGATCTGCCGATGTTTACACCTGGCTATCACGATCACATCTCCTGCGATCATACTTTGGACCTTACCACCAAGTAAAAATTGTGACTTTTTATGATAAATGAAACTGAAGCCATTAGTCCATTCACTTCTGTATGTTTATTTAAGGGACACAATCCGGTATGGCTTAAAGAAAATTTTCCATGAATATATTTGGTAAGTTCCCATGTCGGTTAAGTTTTAGGTGTATGTTTTCATAATGACTGCTGATTGTTAGGGCCGGCATGGTGGAACAGTTTGAAGAATATTGATGATGCAATGGGATACTGTTTTAAACTGGAAAGTGGAGATATTTCAGTACAGTGTGACTTTCATAATTTTTACAAACTGCCATCAAAAACAGTCGAAACTGGAAGACAACATTTAGCTTAGAGCAGTGGGGTGACAGTCGGAAGTAGGTCTGTTATGTTAGTTTAGTTCATGTGAACTGTTTCATATGTGCTTCAGATGTCAGACTCCTCTGTTAGTACAATCTGTGTATATTATGGCTCTGTGGTTTAGTGTTTAGTGAAAATCGTTTCACAGTGCAATCCTTGATGTTTATTTTCCAGGTGCCATTTCCACGATGGGCCTTCGGGGAAAAGATCATTTTGTCTTTCAGAGGACCCTGGGTCACCCTGGTTTTTAGCCTCCCATGGTGCCTGATTTTCTCCCAGTCTACATACATGTCCAAACTATGACTGATCCACTGGAGTTTGTATGGTCTTAAGTTTCAAGATCTTGACATATTGTCTGATTGTGAACTTTGTCCCTTCTTGTCCTTTGACCATCTTTCTCAGATATCTCATTTCTGAGGCCTGAAGCTGGTTTCTGTGAGCTGCTGTCATTGTCCATGACTCACACCCATAGGTCGGGACTTGGACATAGGTAGAGTGGTAAACTGCATTTCTATAGCAAATTATAATATTACCGTTTTGAAAGATGGAAAAGTGCCAACAACAATCAAATTACTCCAATTCTTTTAGTTACAGAGCAACTCCTTCTGACCTAAAGCAATATTAGCAATTATATAGTGCAGAAAGAGTTAAAAATACCAATTCAGCAAAATAAATAATTTAAAAAAAAAAAAAAACACTGAATAAATATTACATACCAAAATTAGCTCCCCTGATGAATCTGCGCAGAGCTGGCCTCTTTGGCATCAAACGGTACTTGCAACCAAACGGAGAGAACTTGCTCCAATGGTTGCCAAGCAATTTAATACTGATATAGCGGTCACCACAACGGTAGCAGAAGTCAGTGTTACATTTAGTGCATTTCATGTGGTCGCACCCCTTGATTTTCTGTATGAAGATCTAAGGGCACAAGAAAGGTCATTTTATTAGCAGATACCTCAAGAGTTATAGCATAATTCTGGATCAATGTAGAGAATACCATTTCATCCTTCCACACGTTGGACAGCAATAGCATCTGAATAGTACATGGTGTCTCTGTGTGTTCTTTTAACATACTGTCTCCACAATGGAGGTTGGCCTCAATGTACCATACCCACTGCTGTCTTTGGGAGTATTATGTGGTGAGATCTCCTCCACAGTAAGACTCTCCTACCTCTGTTGTTTTAAAAACATAATCGGCCATTGAAACTGAACCCTAGTACTAAAAGAGCATGACATTGTTAAATGCATTCAATAACCTCGAAGCCAGAGCTGACAATCCATTACAGGTGCAATAATTATAGCTTCTTAGGAAGTCGAACAGGGGACTGGAATTTGTCCTGCTCGATTGCCACCCAGAATGCAACTTTTAAAGTCACTGGCATGGTCAAACCTTCAGCAAGCAGCTTAGAATGCCACAGTATGTAAAAAAAAATCCATAGGTATAGATAGTTTAGATCTACACACAGAATAAAACAAGAATCAGTTCCTCGACTTCTACCTTTCATTTCCCAATGAAGCTTAGGCCCTCACTAGACCACACCAAGCCATCTTTAGACTTTTGGCTCACAGCTTTTGTCCCACAGGGTGAGGTAACCAACTCGTTTTGTTGCTTTTTCAACATGCATGATAAACGATGCGCAACAGTCCACTATTTGTGTAAATTCTCTGCTGCTTTCACGAGTTCGAGGGGTAAGGACCGATCTTCTGTGTGCTCTTGCTAATTTGTAATAACATCTTGATTTTTCTTAAGGCAGCTCTTGATGCCATCATTCCATATTTGTGTGGTCTACACCTTGCTCTGTGGTCATTATATTTTTTCTTCCAAATTAGATCCATTAAGAAGCGTGGTAGTTGAAAGCGTGTAGGGACCAGGACATTCTCATCAGACAACAAAACCTATCTTTTATCTGCTGCTCTTTAATCAGTTATATGATTGGTCTCAGTCACAGTCTTCTAATTGCTTTATTTCTGGTCACACATGTACACAATTCTCAACTCATATTTGAATAGAAATCTACAGTTGAATCTATGCAATCTTGTTTTTTTTTTATTTTAAACCTGTGATTAAGCAAATGTGCTCAACATCTGTATCTAACTAAACATTTTTTTTATCTAAACATATTTGCTTAATTACTTAATTATATTCTGTGTCTAAACATGTGTTCTCAAACATTAACACATTAAACAGTGTTCCCTTTTATGTCTGTAACCAAATATGTTTTTCTCTGTAAATAATTGTGTGTGATCCTCCAAATTCTGTAACTAAACACTTCTGCTTCTTCTTAAAGTCCATGCCGCGTGGCGTTAGTAGTCATGTCTATCCACAACCTTCTGTCTCATGTACTTTTTACTTTGACATAGATGATCCTCCATGCCATGATGTCAAATTGTCCAGCATCTGTTCTTTCGACTTTCGGCATCCCTCTGTATCTCCTCTCCTCCAGCTTTCCTACTGTCACGATTTACTCCAGTTTTTCTGCTTCTCATCACATGACCAAAGAATGTAGACTGTCTCTTTCTGATGTGGGCAATAAGTTCTCTTAGTGGGTCAGTTTCTTTCAAGATGTCTTCATTACTCTTTTTATCTGTTCACTAAACACATTTGCTCATAAATTTATGTCAACTATATGTGTTCTCAAACTCATTCAGCATATGTAATTAAACATGTATTCCTCTCTTATGTTAACTAAACATGTGTTTTTGATATCTGTAACTAAAATTAAAAATAAGTTCTCGCTAATAACAAAACATGTGCTCCTCAATATTTGTAATTAACCCTATTAGCACGGACGGGCCGATTATCGCCCGGCGGATGTCTTGCCAAAAACACGGAACGGCCGATGATCGGCCCGATCGTGTTTCGCCTCGAACCGCTAAGAAATCTCCTACTTTGAAACACTGAAAGTGATTCATTTATATTAACTGCGGTATCAGCTTTACACATGGCGACTTTCGAGTGTTTGGTATCGAAGTGAAAATTGTTGTTGAATTTTTTAGATAGTGACCTGAACCGCTAAAAGTATGTCTGACTCGTATGTTTCTGCCCCTAAACTTGATGTTGATAAAACATTTGAATCAAGTGTTGACACTAATTCTGTTGATACTGATGCAGGATTTAGTGTTAGTAGTTATAGTGGGAATCAGATGGGGACGCTGTTGTGTTCAGACCACAGCCCAACCATGGCTCAGGGTATATCCACCCGAAGGTGTTGACACTCCGGCACATCCATTTATAGTGCTGACTGATGGTGAAAAACACATGTCACCTAAAGATATTATTGCTGTTTCACATATATATACATGTTTTTGACTATTGAATTGCTTACAACATTTGTAAAAAGGCCAAAGATCAATAAAAAGATTTCAAATAAAAAAAATTTTTGTTTTTAGTTTTATGTTTCAAGCATTGAAGTTGAAAATTCAAATTCATATTTTCTATTTTTAGATATGCAAATGAGATAATTTGCATATACATCAATTAATTTTAACGATATTGTGAAAATCACGAACTTCAATCTATATCCTTCAAATAGATATATTATTTCATAGGGGTCAGAATAATAGAAATCTGTCAAAAAAATTAAATAAAGTAATAGTAATAACCAAATTCACTGAAAAAATGCTCCGTGTTTTTGGCTAGACCTCTGAAAAACTTCCCGTGCTAAAAGGGTTAAAATGTAAACTAGTTCTAAATTTCTGTAACTTTGATGTCTATAACTGATGTCTTCTCTTCACATATTTCAACTAAACAAAACTAACTAACACATGCTCTTTTTAAAATCTGTTCTCTTCATCAGTCTTATGTTACAAAAGAAGGTACAAACTTACTTTGCATTTAGGGCACTTCTGTGCATTTGACTGGCCCCCACTGCGTTCTTTAGCCCATTTCCTGACCATGGAGTCGCCCATCTGAAACTGCTTGCACGTCATTTCCACATGAAATGGGGCCTGGCAAATAAAGCACCACTGCAAATGGCACTGAGGGCATTGAACTTTCAACCCAAGTTTCAGCTTCTTCTTCTTCACTGCCAGCAGTTGTGGCTCGATGCAGTAGACCTCACTGCAGGCTGGGCATGTCTTCTTTAGGGGATCAGTATTTGCATTGATCAAAAACCTGGCAAACTTCTCTTTCAAATCTTGTGGCAGACGTTCATTTATTTCATCTTTGTGAATCAGGACGGCACATCGGTCACTGGGACATTCTATCTGTACTTTAGCTTCATTGACTTTCATGGCTACATACGTTCCCATGCATGTTGGGCATATATGAAAATCACAGCAGACTCTTCTTCGCAGAAGCGATCTCGTGAGGCAGACTTCACATTCATGATACATTAACGCCCTGTGGGGATACATTGGTGCAAGATCTTCAGTCTCCCCTCTATCTCTGCGCACCCTAATAGCTTCCAAATCCTGCAGATTCCCAAATAAACTCAAAGCAACAGACCAATCATCGTTATCATGGCTATTGTTGTTGCTACTCAGTCCTGATTCCCAATCGCTGTGCATCGTGTGGGAGTCCTGAAACAGAAAACCCTCTTGGCGAGCCAGATCATCATCGAAATCATCTTCACTTGAAGACGATGACAAAGATCTTGACATGGAGGAGCGATGCGAGTGTTCAATAAGGATTTCTTGAAACATCTTATCGATTTCATTTTCTGCAAATATACTTTGTGAATCAGCAGAATCATCACTGAAGGATAATCCCTCTTCTATGCCATCTCCCAACAAACCTTCCCCATTATTGCTTAATTCACCATCATCTTCGTCCATGCCATCGCTGCAATAGCCGTATCTGCATCCACACAGCTGCATCCCAGACATCAGTCCTTTCTTCGCCAGTTGCATCTTCAACCAGTGCGAATGCGAAGATATACTGGGTTCAGCATCTTCACCTTCTGAAACCATATCATCTAAATACACCTCGTGTTTTGAACCTTCTACCGTACTCTGAGAGCTAGTACTGCTACTACTACTACCACTAAAACTGCCACGTTCTTGACCACTGTCCGCCATTGTCCCCCTCCTTGTCGTGGGATAATAAAGTCCTTCTGTTTTCACATCCGTCATGTTGATAAGGCTGTGACTTCGCAAACAAACCACGACCTCGCTCAGCGAAATATGGAGGCAGAATTCTAAATTTAACGCAACTTCCACAAAAATCACAAGATTATCAAGAGTGAAACATCATTTACTGCTGCCACCCCGTCGCGGTAGACAGAAACATAGTGTATTAAACCACAAAGGAGTTCTATCTATGCATTTGTAATGTCCACGAAATGTTTTCGCCCTCGGAGTCCAGCCTCGACAAGGATGTGAACACTCGGGGTAAGTAGCAGTCTAAAATTAGCAATGATCCGAAGACCTAAAACTATGGTAGACCGTTTGCCATTGGCTGATATTTATAATACATTACTAGTCTGACTAAAAACAAAAATCAATACAAGGCGAGAAGCTAGTTCTTATAGTACACCGCTAACTTGTTCCCATGTCCGTTATGCTTTTAATATTTTTAAAACAATTCGTCTCATCCATTAATCTATATTGCGCTAATCCGCGCCACGATAATTTGATTACATTTTAATTACATTTGTCCCACCTGGCATACACAGTTCAATACTTTCACTCGTAGCAATGGATTTGCAGATTTCCCAAGATACCGAGCCAAAAAAAAAAAAAAAAGCATGCTTCTCCGTCGTGTTCACCAGCTGTAAACTCTGGCGGAAAGTTCTGGTTGTTCATCCACTTCTGGACTGCAATCCTGTTCCAGAACCTGAGTGTTGCGTGTGCATCCGTTTTGCAGATCTGACTCATTTGTATGCAGACTGCTTGTTCATTGCATCTCAGGCAGGTGCTACCCGACTATAAAGGAAGCTCCCAATTGGTCGACTCTTGCGACATTTTTGGGTAGACAGTGGGTCTATTCTTGTTTTCCCTATAATAGGTCCCCGGGACCCACACGGGGAAAATAAGCATTCACCAGTGTCAACTACGTTGTCTCCTGTTTCTAACTTCTTTTCGTCACCGTGTCAGTAGCCCTTGCATGTACATTTTTTCTCCCTACATTCTTGTATGTGTTTGAGGACCCATTTTGTTGGGGAGAAACAATAATAGACGTCATGCCCCCCCCCTCTCCCCACATACCCACTACAAACATTTTTTTAAACGCGACTAACTAATTAGAAGTGTGCTGAAATGGGATGTGTTGGACCGAAAAGTTCGGATATCGCAGCCTAGCTGTATACCACACCACAACGTGTCACCACCATTTTATTGAAGAGCACGGGAGAAAAATGTATCTACCTGAACTGCATGTGTCTTTTACATAGTTTGTCTACAATTCCCAGACTTTGCGTTCTGCTGGGTGCACTGGTAATACTAGATGTGGCTGTTTCTTCTTCTTCATCATCATCTTCTTCTTCGTCGTAGTCGTCGTGTTCTGCCCCTACTCCTTCTCCTCTAGACTCTGTTAGCGTCATCTTTTGAAGCAGCATCTGGTGTGAGCGTTTGTTTGTGATACATAGATACTGGTATTTATGACCTCAGATATCCCATTTATTTACCATCAGCAATGACGGTCCTGGTCGCCACTAATGTTGAGCAGAGACTGCTTCTGTTCCAGGGACTTGTACTTTTCCCCATCGAATTTGCTCTAGCCAGCCATTCCCATTGTCAACAATACTCAGATTGAAAGACTTGAGAAGGTGTAAAACTGAGCAATGTGCATTATTCTGTGGTGCACTGGAGACACCGCTTGAGTAGCAGCGAGATACCTTCTTGACTTCCTTCCATGAACTACAAGATCAAGATCTACAGTTTAGATTTGAAGCACCCTTTGCACCACATCCTCTTCAAGAAAAGGTGCAATATACTACTTAAAAGGGGCAAATCGTGGCTGGGTAGGACAGAGAATGATGTCAGGCAGGTCTGCAGCTTTCATCCAGGTGAGGAATGGATGCCAGCATCTAAAGAGACAAATCTTACTATTCCCTGTGTTGTCACGCTTGACAGAAGTTGCCGGGAGCAGAATCCCGTTGCTTTCAGCACTGAGGTCTGCGCGCTTATCAGTGACATGTCAGATGAGACAGATGTGGTGATCTTCACAGAGGGGTTAGGTATACGAAGACATAAGAGACATTCTCTATGACAGCAGCGTGACGATGGAGGTGACGGTGGTGACACAGACTTTCCCATGGCAAGAATCACAGGACTATTCCAGCGTGTGTGTGCTGAGTGATTCTTTGAGCATGATCCAGCTGGTCGAGGCAGGCTCGTTATGCAGACAGTGGATTGAGTAATTGCTTCTTCTTCTTCTTCTTCTTCTTCTTCTTCGTTCAATGGCTGTGAATTCCGGCGGAAGGTCCCAGTTAATCGCCCTCTTGGACTTTTGGCTGTTACCTGGACCTGAGTTTTGCGTGTACAACCGTTTTACTGGCTTTTGCCGTTCCCTGCCTCACGGGCAGATGTACGGGAAGACGTCAGGCCTATTTCTAGGATGATTGTGACCATGGTTTTGTGTAAGTCGAGATGTTACCTTATTTGTGTGTTGTCCTCTTTGACCCTTTCTCCACTGGTGTTGCCCTCAGAGTACCCTCCTTGGGGCAGCCCTGTGTGGAACGGTTGGCCTTCCAGGGAAGGCAGGGGCAGATCATGGGCATTCCCCGCCATCCAAGGAGCCTTCGATAAATGCAGAGCCGTCACATATCACTCTGGTTCTGTGCTCACCCAAGGAATCGTCCCGTCCTGCACATAACTGCACAGAACTTCCGGTTAAAATGGACGCTAGACTGAGGCGCTGTTTGGAGCGGAGGCAAATTTTTTGCTTCTGCCGGACGGTGGCCGAAGTATTTTTGCTCCATTTGTAGACTGGATATAGTTTCGTCGCCCAGCTTCTGAGTTGAATGCATGGCGTGACCCTGTGAGCTGCGGATTGCATTTGGAATGTTTTTTCGACTGTGACCAACGTGGTGTGAATTGTAGATTCAGAAAATGGCGCGATGCCGGTCGTGCAATGCTGGCGGGACCCGTATTAAAATTGATCGCCCTGGCAACTGCTGATCTGTTGGCGACAAGTTCTGCTATCATCAATGATGAACTACATTTCTAATGTTGGACTGTTTGTGTTAGCACTTCGGATGGCTACCATATGCGTTAATGCGAGTGTATGCTAGATATGCTGAGACAGCAGTCTGTCAATCTTTCCACAAGGGACTGTGATAAACATTCTGGGTGTTTTTCGCTGGCACAGGAGCGGAGCAAAGATGGGGCGACCCGTTTGCTATGAAGCTGAAACTCAGACTACCAGACATAACTGCTTAACCTCACAACCGTATTAGGCTTCCCGCTCGACACGGGTCGCGCCCCCCAGAGATCAGTGGGGAACAGCCCGTGGGTTATGGACTTTTGTGACCACACGAAAAGGTACAATCTTTTTCGTCGCACGATTGTCATCTTTAGCACGACAAAATGGAGAATCCTGGGTCAGGCATGTCTTTGTCTGTTTGGTCCCAACACTCGGGCAAGTGGGGTCTCGGGATGTGGACATTTGGACTTTTCCCAGTCAATACGATTTGTAATGGTCGGATTTTGAGCTTGCTCGTGTGCCGTAAGGTATATTATTGTCAGACATTTGGGTTTAACGAGCCGATTGATGGTTGCTGTCTTGGTGTACCTCAGCACGGTGGCGATGACACCAAGGGTTGACAGTGGATGTACATGGGTAGAATCTTGCTGCGAGACGCCACCCACAGGAGATGTTACTCGTCTGGACTGCAGGTAAATCTCTAGGTCAAGGGTTGAGTCTCAGCAACACATTCTCTTCACCCCACAAACTTCTAACCGAAGGTTGTCATTTTGTTCGTTCGTTTGGCAAGCACTTTAATCATGTTCCTAATGAGTTTTGATAAGCTTTTTCACCCATGCGTTTGGGGGCGGGCTGATGAGAGCCACAGGGACACATCACCTCTGGGGGCCGCCAACTCCGAGATCCCCTGACAGCTTTGTTAATGCTCATTTGAGACATTATCCGTGGCGCACGACGAGGACGTGCTGCATGAGTCTTGCGCGAGGTTCCGTAAATTCAGAACAGTGCAGGACTGGTGCCCGAATGACGTACGGAATCTGGTAATCTGGTAATCCTAGTTTAAGCTTTATAGCAAACGGGTCACCCCATAGTTGCTCCGCTCCTGTGCCAACGAAAACACACGTAGTTCATAATGTCACGCCATGCACTCAACTCAGAAGCTGGGAGACGAAACTATATCCTTCCAATCTACAAATGGAGCAAAAATGCAACGGCCACCGTCTGGCAGAAAAAAAAAAAAAACAGATGGCCGTGGCTAGCGTCCATTTTGACCTGAAGCATTATATGAGGGTTAATAAACGGTCACCCCAGCAGTACCCTCATTATTAACTGGGGAAGGGACTTAGGATATTACATCCACCAGCAGGCGTCGCCCCTACAACGACCTGCCTGCCTTCGTTAACGACTGTTCACCCAACAGCCATGCAGTTCTTTGGCACGAAGGAGACACCTTGTACTTGGGTTTTGGACTGCCGACTCCCTACAAGATGTTATTTTATGTTTTGTTATCACACTTGATGTCACTGCACATTGGTCATACCCATGCGTGCTCAGTTCTCTGAAGCAGCAGCCACCCCAAAGTACTTTTACTAATTGTCCCCATGAGAAGCTGGTTATATCGTCTCCTTTCTCGGCCCCGAAGACAGCAAAGACGTGCATCGCCATGCTTAACTCCCATGTCACGCAATCGTGTTAGTGTCAGGGATTCCTCATTCTCCACTAGCCCAGTTCGTACAGCGTTGACGATATCTGCTCTGTCCATGCTTTTCCCCGCAATCATTAGTGCAGTGCTTGCCAGTTGGTCCGCTCGCTCATTTCCCTTTACGCCAGCATGACCCGGTGTGTAGATTCAGGAATGACATACGGAGTAACTCCTTATACACATCACGTTGGACTTAACTTTACCTCACCCATGCAGTGTTGCCACTTTTCA